CTCCGCCTCCTGGGTTCAGGCAATTCTCCTGCCTCAGCCTCCTGAGCAGCTGGGATTACAGGCACGCACCACCATGCCCAGCTAATTTTTTGTAGTTTTAGTAGAGACGGGGTTTCGCCGTGTTGACCAGGATGGTCTCGATCTCTTGACCTCGTGATCCACCCGCCTCGACCTCCCAAAGTGCTGGGATGACAGGCGTGAGCCACCGCGCCCGGCCCATATTTTATTTATTTTTTTTGAGACAGAGTCTCACCCTGTCACCCAGCAGGCTGGAGTGCAGTGGTGCAATCTCAGCTCACTGCAACCTCCACCTCCCGGGTTCAAGCGATTCTCGTGCCTCAGCCTCCCTGCGTAGCGGCGATCACAGGTGCCCGCCACCACGCCCGGCTAACTTTTGTATTTTCAGAGGGACGGGGTTTCTCCATGCTGACCGGGCTGGTCTTGAACTCCTGACCTCAGGTGATCCACCTGCTTAGGCCTCCCAAAGTGCTGGGATGACAGGCGTGAGCCCCCCTTAAGCATCCCCAAGCCCTGGCTCAGAGCCTGCCCTGATCACTCTTACTCTGTGTAATTTGTTTTCTTTTGAGGCTGTGTCTTGCTCTGTGGCCCAGGCTGCGGTGCGGTGGCACGATCACAGCTCACTGCTGCCTCGACCTCCCAGGTTCAAGTGATCCTCCCCCTTCAGCCTTTCGAGTGGCTGGGACCCCAGGTGCGTGCCACCATGCTCGACTAATTTTTCGATTTTTAGTAGAGATGGGATCTCGCTGTGTGGCCCACGCTGGTCTCAAAGTCCTGAGCTCAAGGGACCCTCCTGCCTCAGCCTCCGAAAGCACTGGGATTACAGGTGTGCACCGCCGCACCCGGCCTGATGATGTCCAGGTCCGACAAACCGTGAGCTGGCTCTCCAGCCCACGCCGCGCAGGGGTTAGGGGGCAGAGGTGGCCACAGACAGCGGCAGAGCAGAGCCTGCGGGAGTCACTTTGATTTCAAGGAGACGGAAGCACTGGATGAGACCGGGTCAGAGCAGAGACCTGAGGCCGCCCAGTTCAGTTGCCTGTGACTCGGTGCCCCCAGGGTGACCACTCCGAGACGGGGCTGGGGCTGCCTTTGCCCTGGGGGGAATGTCTCGGGCCCAGCAGGGGTGCTGAGGCCGGGGGCTGGGGCAGGCGCCATCTTTTAAACACCCTCAGGTCTCTGGGCTACTCCCCCCAGCAGCCCCTCAGGACACCAGCCCCGGACCCGTCTACTTCTTGGACCCCAACGTCACACGCTTTGGACGCAGCTGCACCCCTGCCTACTCCATGCAGGGCCGTGGCAAGTCTCGGGGTGAGTACTGGACCCACGCAGCCACACAGGGGCCCCTCTAAGGCCTCAGCGGCGCTCCCGCCCTGGCCCCCCTCTCCTTCTTATGCTCGGAGTCCTTAGAGTACCAGTGTCTTTGGAGCGATCAGATCCAAAGGCCCTGGAGGAGGGACCGCCACGCCAGTGCCCACAGGGGCTGGGAGACCTGGGTGAGTGAAATGAGTCAGCGTCACGGAGGCCCTGGGCACACACGCACCCCAGGGGCAGCTGGCCCTGGTGTCAGAAGGTGAGAGGTGAACGGGCATTGTGGCAAATCGCCAACGTCCTTCACGGACACCCAACAGCCTGCCCGAGCACCTGCCTGACTCCATGCTGCCCTCCACCTGCCCACCCAGCCACCCATCCATCCACCCACCCATCCATCTATCCACCATCCACGTATCCATCCACCTGCCCACCCGCCCATCCATCTATCCACCATCCACGTATCCATCCACCTGCCCACG